TTACGTTCTGAAAGTTTCATTACGATCGTACGTCTAGAAATTAAATTCTTCAACAGTGTGTGTATATGCGTGTGTTTGTTTGTATGTGTATGTTTGTGCGTGTGTTTGTTTGTATGCGTGTGTGTGTGTGCGTGTGCTTGCTAATTATTATTGAAATATCAGTTGCTTGTAGGGTTCAGGGGATCTCGTAGTCGAGCAGTCTCGACTAGAGCTTTCTTACTTGTTAAACATGGGAATGAGTATAGCAAAATGTTCTGCACTTTATAATATTACTATAGCTTAATATGTAGAGATATATTTTTATGTTATTTGATTTTTCAAAGTATAAAGTAAGGTTCTTTGATTTATAAATACATAAGAATATATTGCACAAACGAGAGTACATATCATGGCGAATTTCTTGATTCGAGACATTAAATTAAACGCATCACTGAACTTAAATGCTCAACATTTGGTCGTTCGAAAGCATTCGAAAGCAAGTGGCAGAGCAGCCCTCGAAGATCGTGCTTCGAAAAATGCCCATATAAGTAATTCGCTCGACTATAAAAAGACGTGCAGAGCAGATGTCTCGACTAGTTGATTTCCAGCTGTGTTTCATTACGGACAAAAGTTTGGAGAATTACCAGATTACCATTTTTATTCCATTTTCAGCCTGTTTTTTGTTCTAAAAGGCATTTAAATCTCGTTTTAGATCCTATTATTGCTTTATCAACAAAAATAAAATATGGTAAGTAAACATAAAATAAGTATAACTTTTGTTGTAACTTTTTTCACGATTTAATTAATTTTTTTTATATTTTTAAATAATAAATTGAAAAGTAAAAATTTAGATTTTTATATTTTAATGATAAAAAAATATATATAAATAAATAAATAAAATAATAACGCTAAATTATTTATATAATTTTTAAATAAGATATAAATTAAAATTACAATTTATAAATAGTGTATACATATATACAAGATTTAATATCACATACTACATATATACATATATCATCAGTAATATGAAGATATTTATTTTTGGTATTTAGCTAACAGTATTTAGCTAAAGCAGTAATAATTTTGATGGCAGGCTACTTGTCATTTGTATGATATCATATGAATATACATATTGTATTATCACAAGTCTTTATTGTTCTTCATATACAGAAATATTATTAATTAACTAATTTAACAATTTATTAAACAAAATACTTTTACATTTTGTTGATGGGCTCAGATTTATCTCGTATATCCATATCAAATACTGGAAAACTCCCCTTTTACATACATATACATTATTCATACATTTAATTCTATATATGTATACATTTATATAAATACTCACGAAAATGTACCCACACCTACATATTGATAGAAGTATTTCACGGTCTACTGAACTGCACTTTTCTATGTAGCTCTGTATTAAATTACCTCCTTTTTTTGCAGAGGGAGTGCATTTCGGTTCATATTGGACAAGCTGGCGTTCAGATCGGCAACGCTTGCTGGGAGTTATACTGCCTGGAGCATGGAATTCAGCCTGACGGTCATATGCCCTCCGATAAGACAGTTGGTGGTGGCGATGATTCCTTCAATACTTTCTTTAGCGAAACTAGTGCTGGAAAGCATGTGCCACGCGCAGTGTTTGTCGACTTGGAGCCTACTGTGGTTGACGAAGTGCGCACTGGCACCTATCGCCAGCTGTTCCACCCGGAGCAGTTGATCACTGGCAAGGAGGACGCGGCTAACAACTATGCTCGTGGTCACTACACGATCGGAAAGGAGATTGTGGACATTGTGCTGGACCGCATCCGCAAGCTGGCCGATCAATGCACGGGTCTTCAGGGTTTTTTGGTTTTCCACTCATTCGGCGGAGGAACTGGCTCCGGATTCACATCGTTGCTCATGGAGCGTCTATCAGTTGATTATGGAAAGAAATCAAAATTAGAGTTTTCCATTTATCCAGCGCCACAAGTAAGTAAAATAATTGATGAGATAATCGGGAAATTGTGTGCAAACACACCCAAAATTTGTGACATATATAGAGTACATATGTGTATGTATTTTTAACACATTATTTCGTATCGTTTCAAGGTATCAACTGCTGTCGTCGAGCCATACAATTCGATTTTAACCACCCACACCACCCTGGAGCACTCAGACTGCGCATTTATGGTTGACAATGAGGCCATATATGACATTTGTCGTCGGAACTTAGACATCGAGCGACCCACCTATATGAACCTAAATCGCTTAATTGGCCAAATAGTTTCCTCAATAACAGCATCGTTGCGCTTCGACGGAGCACTCAATGTTGACCTAACAGAGTTCCAAACCAATTTAGTCCCCTACCCACGCATTCATTTTCCTTTGGCTACATATGCTCCCGTCATTTCCGTTGAGAAAGCTTATCACGAGCAATTAACTGTGGCTGAAATAACAAACGCTTGCTTCGAGCCCGCCAACCAGATGGTCAAGTGTGACCCACGGCATGGCAAGTATATGGCATGCTGCATGCTCTATCGCGGAGACGTGGTGCCCAAAGATGTGAATGCGGCCATCGCCACAATCAAGACGAAGCGATCAATTCAATTCGTCGACTGGTGCCCAACCGGCTTCAAAGTCGGCATCAATTATCAGCCACCCACTGTGGTGCCTGGCGGCGACTTGGCCAAGGTTCAACGTGCGGTGTGCATGTTGTCCAACACCACGGCCATTGCTGAGGCCTGGGCTCGTTTGGATCATAAGTTCGATTTAATGTATGCCAAGCGTGCATTCGTTCACTGGTACGTGGGCGAGGGCATGGAGGAAGGTGAATTCGCCGAGGCTCGGGAGGATCTGGCCGCACTCGAGAAGGACTATGAAGAGGTCGGAATTGATTCCACCACCGAGGTAGACGAAGGTGACGAATACTAAGAGATGACGAATACCTAAAGAAGAATCAAGTAGAAGAAGGATCATGTTTCATACTCTGCATAACAAACCTACGATTTTGTACAACAAAATAAATAAAATCTTTACTAAAATATGCAAATCAATATGCCAAAAATGTATTTCATTTATTATTCTTCTTTCATTATTATCTAACACACGTGCTCAAACAATTTGATATTTTCTGATCTATTATGAAGAGTTACTTGAGTTTTTGGAAAGAAAGTTGTTTAGCCAAGTTTCGATGACCGGCAGATTCTCTTCACTCCACAGAACTTCTTCTTTTATGTTGCGAAGTGACTTTTCGATTATATGTTGTGCGCTTCCGAATTCCCCAGCATGCTCTTCATAAAGCTGATGCACCATATTGTAACCTTTTTGAGTTAAAAAGAATCCAGTGGCCGAGCCTATCAAGTGGTCCCACAAGTTCGTATTATTTATTAATCTGAAAATATAATATTTAATTAAATATATATATGCTTTTAAATACTTCATATGAAAATATAATTATTTCTAATACTTGTATTTTTAAGACAATTAAGCTCTTAAAAAAAATAGGATACCGCGATATGCTTCTAACCAACATAATGCTGGTAAATGTAGAAATTCAGAACAATATATGTACATGGATAATAATAATAAATATTATATACTCCTAAATAATATTATTATTTTTCAATATAGATATAAATGTACTTACTTCTCCCGTATCGTCGTCCAGTTGCCGGATAAGAATTTTAATAACGTGTAATGGCCGCTGGAGGTAGCCGTGAGTGAGGAATATATTAAGAACTGATCGTTTTCGGTAAAGTTGGAGTTTTCTTCTAGAGTCGATTGCTCTAGCAGTCGAATAATCTTCTCAGGCTGCGTTGGACAACCGGCCAGAGTCTTCAATAAATAGGTTCGCTCGTTCTGTTTACGTGATTTTGGGAACTGAAGTACTCGCTCTATGCCGAACTGAAACTCTTCCATGGATCCCCATTTGAAAATGGGACAAATGTAATGATTTGGCACCCTGGTATACAGAAAGAGTTTAGAAAGGATATTATGTGGATTTGGGTAGAAATACTAACGGATTCTCCAAGTTTGGATCGGGTAAGTGTTGCCAGACACTGTACGCATTTTTGGCTTCTTCTATACAAGGTCGATAGCCGGCGCCGCACAAAAATCTCTTGGTCAATGAGCGCAAATCAGTTTTCCAGTTATCTTCGCCTTCAGTTTCCGCACCCAAATCTTCATATAAAGGTGTAAGCAGTATTAAGACATATTCCTGAAAGTAATAAACTATGTTGTTATCAATGCCATTAGTGTTTTGTGCTGCCTATTTTGATAGTTGCCTCAAATCTCTTATGGACTTCCGGCATATCAATATGCCGACCAATTTGATCAATAAACGTGAACACCGGATTCCATACAATATGATTTCGTTCAAATTTCATAAATAATGTCATGTTGAGGGCCGTTGCAAAACTCAAATCGCCAGCATATGCGAGATTCCAAGCATCGTGCAAGAGTTTTGACCTGAAAGCGTAAAATTGTATTAAGAAGTCTAACTTCCAAACACATATTGAGTTATTTAAACTTGCACTGAGTTCCAGACCTATCATAGTTTATAGAACTCAAAGTAAATATTAATCCTATCAGCAGGATAGCTTTGCTGTTGGGGAATAATTTTGAAAGCTCACCTCGTGTATGTTGGAACCAGAGTTCGACCGGTTTCAGTTTGTAAAAATTTGGAGAGCATTTGCCAATTCCGTTCATCGTAATTGACAGGAAAAGGACCTATTTCTTCTTGGTTGACAATAATAAATTGGTCACTGGGTGGCATGTTGTCAATTGTCATTTCCCGAGACCTTTCCATCCACACGTAGGGAGTGCAATTTGAGAAATTGAGTGCATCTTGGCGGTTTAAAACTATTGGAATCCACCAAAGCATTTTCTCCTGTTCAGGCACGTCGTGTGGTCTCTCCCTGAGGTAGAGTTTTTGCTGAACAGCTGCGGTTCGTTTTTCGTAATCCCTGCGAACAGTTACGACAGGTAACCGATGAATCGCAAACCACGAGTCGACAATGTCGTCCACATGATATTGGCTGTTGAGCGTTCCATGCATTGTCGCCTGCTTGGTTAGCGCACTCCAAAGATCATTTCCAACAAATGTCTTATACTGATGCTCCTCAATGAACGTTCTGAGACCCCTTTGGAACGAGTCTTTGCCCAAAGTAAAGTTTAGCATGCGTATAACAAGCTCTAATTTGTACGATATTGTCTCTTGCTTCATCGCTGTAATGCGGGAATGGGGGTATCTTTTACTAAACTCGTAATATATTGAATAAAGCGTCGTCATAGGATATTTGCCATTGAATTCGATGCCACCATCTATCTATATATGTATTTTATTTATTGCAATTTGAATTCGTATTTATGCAATCTTACTTCTCACCTTAAAGACAATATCTGCCGCTAAGAAGCTGGCCAGGGCCTTGTTTAGATGGGCATCAGTCCACCACTCAGGGGTCACCCACGAGCCAATCCATTGATATATCAACTCTTGTGCTATGTCATAATAACGATTTTGCGTAAGATCGCTTTCTCTAATCAAAAATATGATCAAGTATTAAAATATGTTTTATGCTCCAGGATGTTGTTCTTACTTAAACAGCAAAAGTCCCCAATTATCTACCGGGCGCACCACCTGTAGCTCAGGAATGACAACCACATCGATTTTAGATAAAGGCAAGGATACATTAAAATATCTTTGAATTGCTTTGTGAACAATTATAACTTTTTGGTGGATTTCCTAAAAACCATATCAACAATTTAAAATTACAATTTAAGATTATTATTATCATTTTTTACCTTAAATTGGTTTGCATTATCTTCAAATCCCCAAAGACTTAATACTGGTTCTGTTTGGATTGATGTATCTTCATCAAGTTTAATCTCATTTTGTAATTTTTTAAGATTTGCCGTCACAAAACCAAATGTGAAGGCAGACATCGGTGGGGTTGTTTCGAAATAGTCAATTACATAATCTTTTAAAGTAGAACTGCAATCAAAAATATACAAATATTATAAATGAATAAATAAGTATTGGAAGCGTCTTAGGCACCAATGGTAGACTATTAAAAAAGATTTGAGTGGACAGAATGTAATCTTTATTTATAAGACTACAATTTTTATTTGATTCCAACACTTCTTTAAATCTTGAGTATTATGCATAAGTTTGAATTGAATTATTTGAAGAAGATAGATTCCTCTATCCATAACTCAATAAATTAAAATATTGAAAACCACGAAAAATATTTGTATTTAAAATTCAAATAAAGTACTGTAATATAAATTAAATTTATCTCTCTCTTTTACTATTATTAATTTAAGATTTCTTAAACATACTTTATTTATTATATATGATTTTAAACTTACTGATTAATTGTTCGATTAAGTGGAGTGTTGAAAATCGTAAATAAATGGCTTGGTCTGGTAATGGAGACTGTAAATGGAACCTATAATAATTAATATATGATATTTTATTTATGGAAATATTTTTAATATGTATTGAGAATACTTTGAATCCAGGTTCATCGAAGCAGGGAAACAACCGTCGAGCGTTATTCGGTCTTAGGTAAGTGGCTAAATAAGTCCAATTTGAATAGGATCCCTTGAATAGTCCTTCTCCACTCTCCCAAATACTTCCTTCAAACGGAATTTCCAAAATGCATTCACTGCCTTCTTTAATGGCCTCCTTCAGGTAAATGATATAAATTGTCTTCTTCGGGAATCGACTTCCACGTACAACAGATATATTTTCAGATAACTGTGAATCACTATAGAAACCGAAGTGATGAATATTTAAATTCATATTTGACCCTCAAACTATAATGCATACCTATTATTCGTATTTATTTTTCGTAATACAATTTTCTTATCATTGATATCCAAATTGAAGTGAGCGTGAATCGAAATTTTCTTTGAGTCTGATTTCCACGTCAAATTCATTTTTATTATACCAGAGAATGCATTTTCTTCAATTTTCGGTTCTAAATGAATATCATAGCTCTGAGGAATAACATCTTTCGGCAGTCGGTCATCAGTAATAAGCGGATAGGAAGCTGATGGGTCAATGCTGCGTTTAATGGTAACCTAAAACAGAGATATTTTTAAGACTTCAATGTAAATGTCAACTGAGAATATAGGACTTGTTGAGTACCAAGAAGAAGAGCAACGAGCCTTACGAGAATAACTTGATTCGCAACCCTGATTGGATTATTGAATTAAAAGGAAATGTTATTCAATGGTATATTGAATTAATATATTTTTAAAGGACAGATATCTTAGACTTTAGCTGGAATCGAAGCGTGGACTTTGTAAAATCTTTGCAACTTACATGACCTGCTTCATAAACAGAAAACAGTAAACAAAAGTATATTAGCGCACTGCATCCTTGCAACTTAAGGAATCCCATTTCCTGAAAATTAAAGAAGATAATATTCAAAATAGGCATAAGTCATATATATTTGACTTACAGGTAAAACATAAGTTGTTTGTGCATACTTTATGGGTAACACTATTATTTAATTCGTAAATGGAAGAGATCAACTATTATAAATATACAGGTATTATTATCAAATCAGTTGCTTCAGTAATTCTGGCACATCTTTAACTCTTTAGTTGAAATTCCATTATGAAAGTTGATTTATTAATCTGATTGAATGTCATACAGGACTAAGTTCTTAAAACAGGTTTTTATTCTTAACGATCAAAAACAGTCAAATTTGGTATAAAATTATGATATTTTTAGGCTATGTAAATTTTGATCTATTCAAAGAGCAGTTCAATACTTAAAAAGTTCGTTTGTGAGAAGTGTATACCTACACCCATATAAATATATTATATCATACTTTTATGATATTTTAATATAATTATTCAAAGGTTCTCCTATGGAATTAAAGATTTGTTAGTGGGTGTGCCGCAAAAAACACAAGTACTTCAATAGAATGGATACGAAGAAATGTTTCAATTTGTTTAACTCATTTTCCATTTCGCTACTGAAATTTGCAAAAATCACTAATTGATATAATCGTTATCTAAACAATATTTTTAAAAGAAGAAAATTAAAAAAAAAAAATGCCCTAGAAAAAAAAGAATCTTGTTAAGCCATTTCGAGTCACATTTTTATTTATTTTTTATTTATGCGTCTGCGGGTGAAAATGCGGCAAACAGCTAAATTGGCTATATACTCTGAAAAAAAAAAAAATAATAATTTAATTTAAAAATATTTGAAATCTAGTTTGTATTTGTTAAAATCAAATTATTTTCCGACTAGAAATTTATATCAATATATTTGGAATCAAGTTTAATCTATTAAATTATTATGTACAATTAAATCAAATTAAATTATTATATACAATTTTTATTATTAACGACAAATATAAGCACCCGATTTGTTCTTTCAAATGTAAGGGGTATAATGCACACATTTGATAAGAGAGATAAAGAAATTTAACTGAATCGAGATAAAGAATGAAAAGATAACTCGGACTGCGTTTTTGTTTTTAGATGTGAAAGATAAATCGTAAAGTGCTGTGCGCATCTGTTGATGCTTTTTGGCTTCTTAAAATGCCTAAGCGATTCGTATTACTTCTACTCGTGTGGCTACATACTTCCTGTACTTTAACCAAAAAGGTCGTAGATGAGTCAGAGATCATATTCCATAACTTCAAAGTCTATTCTTTGACCATGTGCAGGTTCAGAAATGCGAAGACAACATTACGGAGACAAGCGAAGGCACAGCCTATTGGAAATTTCGAGGCACGCGTTACACAACCTCCGAAGACTTTCTTTGCTGGAAGGAAAGTGGCGAAGTCTTGGTGCGCGAGTGCAACACAGCTACGGGACAGTGGGTGCCAGAGAATGTCGTATGCAAGCAGAGAGAAAGGCATCAGACGTATTGCCCAGAGGACTTGGTGGAAATCAGGGATCAAGATGGTGACGTTCTATGTCTAAAAGTCTCGTCGAAGCCTCAGAAGTATGATGACAGCTTTTGCCAGGGGGCAGATCTAATTTTCCCACACAAATTATCTAAACAAGCAGTTGTAAGTCTTACAAAGTTCTTGAACGAGAGCAAACTAACCGAGTATTGGCTGCCAGTTCAGCGCGAGAGTAGATATTTGCCATTTAAGATACGCCTGCCCGGTGAGCAATGGGGGGAAGTGGTGGATGATAAGACGAACATCTTAGATTTTAGATCTGATAAGAAATGCATGTCCATTCGCTCTTCACACCAGGAACAAAACAAAATCCGAAAGGTACAGAAGACCGACTTTAGCCAAACGATTACGGACTGCGATGAATTATTGCATGCGATTTGTGTGTTTGAAGGTGACCTCACAACAAGCTCAGGATGCCCCAAAGGACAAGGCGCTCTTAACTATCGTCCAAGTGAATGCTATGGGGTCGAATGGAGAAATGTGTCAAACAATCCACAAGATGAGATACGCATTAATGAATACTTCCGGAAACGTAATACTTTGAGATTGGTACTAAAGCACCTGCCCAAGGAGCAGAAAAAAGAATTCTTTCAAGTTGGCAATTTCGCGGACAGATTTAACGAAGAGTATGCGATTACCATGAATAAGGACGAGGTGGTGCGAGTTGTTCATCTTGAAAATAATTTGAAATTTCCGTTTCTATATAAAAGACAAATTACCACTCAGGTGAACCCCGTTCAACTAATGCTGAAATTCGATGCAGCTTTGCAGGAATTAATTTTAGTGGTTTACTATGGGGAGTATCTATGGCGCATGAATGAAGACGATGAAGGCGTTCGGTGCTTCACCAATGCTGACTATGAGCTTCAGCGAACCTCCAAAATTGACCTCATTTGGGAAAATAAAGATAGGACCAAGTCGATCTTTAAAGTCAAGCTGGTTGGCGAGGGTCCAGGCGAATATTGGTGCGAGGGACACACGATTTTTGACTTTCATTTGGTGACTAGTCCCCGCGTAGTGGCAGAGAAAGAGAGACGGGGCCATTCCTTTGCAGTGAAGCTGAATGTGAATTGCACAGTTTACAACAAAAATATTTTTGAGAACCTGTGCAAAAATATCAATAAAAATTCGAAGACACTTGCCAAGAACGTACTAGGTGAACTGCGTAGGAAAAGCAAAGACTTTTCCCGAGATCTAGTTATACATAATGCACGAATTATGCGTATTGTAAAGATTACAGCTCAGGATATGGAATGTTGGGTCCACCTGACCGCCTCGCTGAAGAACTCGGCAGTGGATAATAGCGAGGAAGAAAGCAGCGAAGAGAACGATAGCTCTGAGAATGACGATCAGGTCAGGCACGATACGTCGGTTCGCATGACAGTGTGGAACCTGCTGAAGAAAGCGATATCGGCGCACACCCACTGTAAGAACTCTGTTGTAGTACGAAGCACAGAGTATTGCTTTCCAGATACTTTCCGTTTGGACAACGACGAAGCCTATCAGTGGAAGCAGGCGAAGATCGGCCAGGTGGGCACCCTATCGAAATTGTGTCTGCAGGGCAATGGAATGCCTTACACCCGGAAATGCAACGGCAATTTCATAGAGGGTGCCTATTGGGAGACGCTGAATGAAATTCCGATATGTGAAGCGCACAAAACGGACTTGAAAGTCACCAAAACTCTGTACAACTTGGCAAGCTCCAAAAAGCTAAAGACCTCTCCAGAAAAAGTGGTAAAGCAAGTTAAAAAGATTTTACAAGATAATGCCAAAAAGTTTATACCTGTCGACATACACTTTGCTGCCAATATTGTTCAGGTCTCCGTGCGTAATTTGGATAATTACGTTCTGAGCTTAACGACAAATACAACAACCATTGAGGAGCAAATTCGAGCCTACACAGCTTTCAAGGAAACTACGCAGGATCTTATACATATTTACAACTATTTAATAGATGTAAAAGAAAAAACGTTGAAAATGTCTGCCAAATTGAACTCAACCAACAAACTACTCGAGGCATTTGAGAACGCCCTATCCGCGCAGTCTGTGCTACCGGACCTGAGAGGAATTGGTAACTCCAATGAATTCGAGTCAAGCTCCGACTTTGAGGTATTGGACTATGACGATATTGGCGTCTCTGTGAAAATATCTCCGAATTTATTATATTTCATACTTAATCCGCTAATTGCGAATATTTCCGGAATCGCAATGTTTAAAAACAATAACGACACTGAGCTCCCGTATTCATTAAAAGGTGCTTTTCGAAATGAGCACTATCGCTTCCTGCAGTCCAATCATGAAATAGAGGACTTCATCAACGAACCTGACCTGCAATTCGCTACCTATGTACCAGAGAATCTCCTATCACAATTGGACACAATTTTGAATGCAAATAATATTACAGAAGTCACAAATACTATTGTGGTCATCAAAGTCTACTCGAACGACAAACTCTTCCAATCACAAGCTAATCAGACTGCCCAATCCGCATTGGGACGGGTCGTCTCCATATCCTTGCCCGGACATAGCACGCAACTGCCTGAAGATTTGCCAATCGCCTTCCGCATTTGGCAGAGTGATTCATTGAAACACAATACAAGTATAGATATGTGTAGCTATTGGAACTTTGAGAGTTGGGCCTCGGATGGCATTAGGCAGGAATCGAATCGCTCAGATATAAGCTCTGATATTGTGCTCTGTCAGGTCAGCCATCTGACGCCATTTGCTTACCTAGTGGGCTTCAATTTTACAGTGGAGGAATCGGATGAGGCTAATGTGCGGCCAAATCATGGCCAGGCCCTAGACATTATAACAGTTACGGGCTGTACCCTATCGCTACTGGGCATATCAGGCATATTCATAACGGCAGCAATATTTAGTTCGTGGCGCCAAAAGCCATCATCCAAGGTTTTACTTCAACTATCGGCTGCTATCGCTTTGCAAATGATAATTCTTTGCTTTATCAACACTGAAGAATATTCCCTGCACTTGATTATCAACAAGATCATACCCAGTTGCGTTGCCATTGGAGCCCTGCTCCATTACTCCGTATTGGTCCAGTTTTTCTGGATGATATTAATCGCCTATTTGCAGTTTAAGCGATATGTTCAGGTATTCGGCGGAGGTCGACCGAACAGATTTTTCATGAAAGCAACGATCTTCTGTTGGGGCATACCTCTCATACCCGTAGTGCTTGCTGCTGTGCTAGACCATGATTCGTTTAGTAAGGGTCCCATCTGCTACCCCTCCGGCTATGCTCTTTATTTTGGAATAATCATGCCGATTTCAATCATTATAATTGCTAACTTTATAATCTTTTGCCTTATCATATATAACATATTGGTGAGCTCGAGCCTCCCAATCAGGCGCAATGACACGCCAGTTTTAATATATCAGATACGCCTGTCGGTACTGCTTTTCTTCCTGTTGGGCTTTACGTGGTGCTTCGGTATTCTATCCTCCATAAAAGCTGGAATCGTATTCTCATACCTTTTCAGTCTGACAGCAACACTGCAAGGGTTCGTTATATTCCTATACTTTATTATCTTAGATCCTGTCACGCGACGCATGTGGGGTAAATTTGTTTGCCAACTTTGCTCGAATGACAAAAGTTTCCTTCAAAGTTCAAGTTCTGATAAAGACACTACGCAGACATACTAATCACTTTTTTGTGTATTTTGCTTATATAACTTTCTTAATAATTTAATATTGTTAAACATTCAGTATGACTACAAAAATATATTTATAGTACGAATAATTTATACCTTTGCAATGATAATAATTAATGAATAAACAACTTTTGTGAAAAAACACATTTTTTAATTTTTTATGATATATATTTTTTATGATAATTATTGTATATATATTTTAGCTATTTTATAAATAAATAAAAAACCCTAATATTTGGCACAAACTTTTTCTAATTAATTTTGTATTTACTGCTGAGTTGAAAACAAAAAAGAATACAAAACGAAGGAGTTGCCATGCCCTTTAGACTTCAATGAGTCATTAACTAAATTTGGGTGAATAATGATTTATTACTGTAAAAGAAAGTTTGTCGCGCACTCACTCTGACTTGTTTGCACATCTTGACTAATCTTTAATCATCTCAACATTTATTTATTTAGCTTTCTTATCAAGCTAACTACGAACTAATTATCAACGGAATTCATTTTTTTAGTCCTTAAAAATGAGTATCAGCATTATTAACAGAGATGAGAGCAAACAAATCTTTAAACCATCAATTTTATGTGTAGTGATGTAGAACGCTTTGCAATTTCACCAACTTTTTCTAGTAAAATTAATAGTCAAAGTTGTAACTATAAGGTGTTCTTATCACACATCGTGTTGAGAAAAAAAAATAAATGAACTGTAGTAATATCTTTATATATAAAAAAGACTCTCGGTCTTAGAGGGTTTCCAGTGGGCCGCATTAAACTGTGGAACTGACGATACTATACATACGATTCACTCTATAAATGTGTTTAGAGGTTTTATGTATATATTTCAACAGAATTAATTTTTGAACACACACATTGAAAAAGTTCAAGTTTTACTCTTAGTTCAGGAAACAATACTGGGTTTCGAAAGTATATACCGACACATTTGAGAGAAAATCTTAAACTAAACGCCTCGGGCATAGTAAGTTTTCTTCTGCCCATAATACGTGAGCTACGTATTTATATTATATCAGATTATTACTATCACCAGTAATTTAGTCGCTTGCCTCATACTGGACCACAATAGACCAATTTAAGGCTGATAAATGTTGTCAATTGAATTCAATTATGTCGACCTCTGGCTTACACTTATTTTTGAATTTGGGAGAGCTTTGCATTCCTAGTTGAATTCCATTGCTGAATGAGCAAATCCGAGTGATTTCTGAAGCTAGTCCCATTTGGTGGGGTAAACAAATTAAAAGAAGCATTACCCCTTAGCAGCGTGATATATTATATTGCTACAGAGAATTAAGAGCAGTTTGCAAAGAAGGAACATTTATACCAGTGATAAAAAATGAGAATCATGATTTTTAATGGGTTCAGGGTACAAAAACATAACTTGAGGCCAGTCAGGTCATCACACGTTTGACCACAAGCTTAATATATAGAGCCACCGGTCGCCATTATGCATCCTTCAGCATATTAGCATATGAGCTACCGTTTTCAATAGTTTATAACAGAGGTTGGCATGCTCATTCCGAGATACTGAAAATAATTCTTATTTTATACTGCATAGTACATTCTGAGAAAAACAAGTGAATACATCAAATCGGGTGCCATCGATTTCATAATACTGATCTATAACGGTCAGAGCTGGAACCTTTAAAAAATTTCGGATTTTTCTGACTTTTTTCTAAACAGCAATTTTAAATGGTTGGTGGTATCAGTTCCATTTGTACTGACCTCCTGTGGTCCCAGAGACAATTAATTCTGCTGGAAGATAGCCAATATTCCGTATGTTTATTTCTTGTATTCCTACCATTATCACACCTATGATTCTAATCACAATAACCTGCTAAAAAGCATCCATTTCAATTCAAGGACTGTATCTCTAAATATCAAATTGAAGAGTGTATATATATTTATTCGTAATTGTGATAAAAATTGAATCTTAAATATATGTATATGATTCGTGTTTATTTGATAAAAATTAATTGAAGTTCGATATTGTTCGAGTACATCTAAGCAAATAATGTAGTAGTCTTTTCCTAAAATTCACTTTCCTAAGTGAATTCAATTTCTTAAGTTATTGCGACATTTTTCGAGAATATCTTTGCGAATAATATTGTAGTCTGGATGTAATTTTAAGACTTGTTGGCAAATATTAACAGCGTCAGCATACTGCTTCTTCTTCATATTATTTAATGCCAATTTGTAGCCAATGTGTGGCTTAGAGTGACCACAACTATCCCAGGCTTTTTGGTATTGCTTAGCAGCATCCCCATAAGACTGTAGCTTTTCTGAAATGTATCCGCCCAATTCATAGGCTTTTGTACTTGATTTGTTGTACTCCAGGACTCGCTCTACAAATGTCTCTGCAACATCGAATTTGTTGGCATGAATATAAATATCAGCCAATAGTAACCAACTTCGCTCTAAATACTCAGCCTCCTCATAGTTCCAGCTTAGACGAGCTATACGTTTGAGTTGATTTTTCGCACGTTGCATTTGCTTCAGTTGAACTAGAGCCAATGCTAAAGCATATACTACAGTGACCATTAAAGGGTTGCCTTCCTTCTGCATAAGCTCAGTTAAGTCCTTTAGTGCTAGCTCAACTTGAACTTTTTGCTTTGACGCCATTTGCAAAAAGTTCCAATAAATTCGACGATTCAAGCTGTTTTCATAAACCTCTCCAGCTCGAGGACGCATTTCTTTAAGCAAACGCTCGGCTGTTCGCAAGGCGATTAAACGCGACTCACTGAATTCGCCGCTATCTCCCGCGTCTAAAAGATCATTTGCATTCGGTATCTCTCCATCGGGATTTATGCATATTTCAATCATGTTTAGCTTTGCCTGCTGACCCCAGATATGATCCCTACGAGACTGATTGAAGTAGCGTAAAGCACTGTTGAGATTACCATTGTACCAATCAAATAACCCTTTGCAATATGCATATCCAGTTGAATTTTTAGACTGTAATGACGCCTGTTCAGCACGTTCCAAGAAAGGCAGACTCTCCGATAATGTACCAGAACGTCTCATAACCTCAATTAGTCGGGCCAAAGCTGTCCAGTTACAAGGCTGAGATAATAGCAGCTGTGAAAAATGATATGCCGCATTCTTAAATTCCATCTATAAATTACAAAAAAAAATTTTAAATTCTATACACATATGTAAAAGATTCTTTGTAACTATATTAAAAAACAAATAAAAAATAATATTAGGTTTTCAATTATCTAGTAAATATTCTTAATTTTATATATACCTTTCTGAATGATAAATCTGCCATCAATACTGACGCGGTCTCGTTATTGCCATCAATTTGAAGTATCTGCTGACATGTATTACGACACAAATCCATTTCCTTAGACTCCATTTGCAGATGAGCCAGAGAGACTAAAATCTCAAGATCATTAGGAGTGTACTTAACGCACTCCTTAAAATGATATAATGCTATATCGCTGTTCTTAATTTTAATTGACTGTTGGGCAATTAGAATACATATCCTAAAATAATACATATACAAAAATGATTTATATTGATTGTAAGGAAACTGGAATCAAATTAAATATAATAATGCATATGATAAATGTATATTAGTTTTGTTAGTTTGTTTATTTATTTAGGTATGTAATTTTATTTAAATCTGTATAACAAAGCTTCTTATTTTTATAGATATTTATCGTTCAAATAATAACAAAGTTTCGTAATTTCTCTCATTTAAGAAACATAGACGGTTTAAAAGCAAAACAAGAAAGTGGGTAACGAACTGAAACGTAACTAGTGGCAACATCTTTAAACTATCGATAACAGTTTTGTTGGCAAACTTCTCCGATTACCTATCTAAATAACTTTTTTAACAAAGTTTTTAGAAACTTAAATAAATAAATTGTAATATTAACATTAAATAGTATAGTCATTGCCACTTAAAAATATTTATATATCACAAAATATATTAAAAATTTCATAAGGAAAATAACTAGTTCCGATGTTTGATTGACAATCGAGCACCCTTAGAATGCGCTGTCATCGCTAACAGTGAAAACAAGAAATAGTTTTATTAAGAAATTGTGAAGTTGGAGTTGCTATGGCCGACGAATTACAAAACTACAAATGCCAATTGCAGCAAGTGAGTATTCGTGTAGAAAGAATATTGTAGTGCACGTTTAAGTGCATTCTTTTTCATATGCATACACACATATAAGACTATTTACAAATTACATATGTTTGCTCTCATATATATATATATATACATATATATATATATACGTATTTATTGGTCATGTATGTATGTATATGCTAATAAAACTGCAATTCAATCTGTGAAAAGCCTATGTAAGCATGTATGTAAATGCATATACATGTACATGTACATGTACATATAATTATATGTCTTTAATTGTGTACACAAAATAATTGTTTTGCGCTTTTTGTATAGGTGGAAGCTGCCCTTCAAACAGATCCTTGCAATGAAGAACTTTTGAAATTAAAAGACGATCTGGAAGAGGTTATCAAACTAACGCGAGACTTGATAAAAACTCAACTTGAAGAGCAACGAAAATCATCGTACGTAGAACCATCTTCTTCCAAAACAGCGTCGTCAAATTACTTTGACGAAATTGAAGCTGCTCTTTTAGAAGCTGAAAAACTTGTTACATCCGCGAAAGTTTGGAAAATTGGAGACAAATGCCAGGCGAAATGGACAGAGGACGGCCAATACTACGACGCAACCATTGAGGGTATAACTGGGAAAGGTGAAGTAAGTGTTATCTTTGAAGCCTATCAAAATCGTTCTACAACTACAATAAATGAATTGCGTGAGCGCACAACCCGCAATGAAGTATTTCCGTCAAATAAGTATGAACATAACTTGAATTTCTGTGATTGCTTATTAATCTGAATCTCTTCGCAGACGTCATCGACCAAATCAAAAAGAATATTTAAAAAAAAGAAAACAGAAAAAGCAGCAGCGCTTTAAAGATCTAGAAGAAGAGCGCGAATCTGACAAAAATAAATGGCTTAGTTTTACGACAAAGAATCAAAAGAAACCAGGAATGAAAGTGAACAGCATATTCGCATCGCCCGATAACGTTAGTGGACGAGTTGGAATCGGAACATGTGGAACGGCTGGTAAAGCAATGACCGATTTTACGGTTGGAGAAAAATATCGCAAAGGTCTGTAGGTTAATATGACTTTGTACGCATTAAATAAAAAGATTTTTCAAAGTATTCCTTTTCAAGATACTGTAATTCACAGATTAATGCTATTATTTTCTAAGCTGGAAGACAAAGTTAATAAATCGGCTCCAATGTTAAATTAAACACCCCGATTTCCAAGCATTTATAAGATTAATAGACAACGATACTGAACCGGACGTAAGAGCGAACGCATTCAGACTATGCAGTATCCAAAGTTTGCTATTTAAACTGCTCAGCGCTTTTATAGGTAAAACATATTGCGATAAATTGAAAGCTGACTTGGTGCACAGTATGATTTCTCACCGTCAAAAGCTTCAAATGTAAAGCCCAATATCTATATACATATGCTGACTTTAATTTGCAAGCCTCTCACCCATATTATTTGACCCAGCTTATTCGAAAAGTAGTTCAATAGTCGTCGCATTCCCGCAAAATGATCGTATGTCGAAAAATTTAACTTTACAGGAGAAAACGCTTAAATTGAAATTGATTTTTTCCGAAACTAGACTGAATTGAGTTCCTACTTTTTGCAAGTATGTGACATAGACGTTTTTTAACTGTTCTTCATTAAAATCTTGCTTTCGCAAAACATCAACATACGATCATTTCGCGGGAATGCGGCGATATGTAAATGACAGACTAAAAGTCCATACTTACTTTGACAGAATTTTTGACTGCTCGTAAAGGTTTTCAACATGGTTAATAGTACAGATTTTGTGGATGCGATATTGATTGTCTCGGGCACGTTGCAGGGTT